CTCTATAATGCATGGGGGGCAATTTTATTGTAAAGATGAACTCACCTTTTAATCAATTTCCCTTTGAAAAATGATCCACCAAATTGCTCTTCAGAAGGCGACGCCAATGTAATGAAGCCCAAAATGGGAGAGAGGAGTCAGTATGGGCATGACTGACTGTAGCATCTATGTATGCTTCGAACATCGATTTTTATGGTCTGCAAACTAGCGAGAGCATAGGGAGAGAAACAGGTAGAGTTCCAGCTCCTGTACAGTATGGCCAGCAAGGCTGCAGAGTGGCTAATGTCTCAGAGGACTACAATTTTTTTTATGTGCACGTTAGGAAGCCTTCTTACACATGCTCTATTCTTGCATTCCACCTTCGATAGGAAATTGATGATGAAGGTTGGTACCATAAAGTAAATGTACTGTGCACTTCCATAGGCCATCTGTGTGTGCCCAGACCTTAAGCCGTATTTTACCAGTCTGCAGTGTGTTGGTCCACTTTCTGGTTACCTAGCTGCTGGGTAATTTAGGATTGCCAGGATAAGCGTCTATGTTTGCAGAGGATTAATCATTTATCTGGACACTCACATGTGTGTATAAGTAAATGATACTACACAGAACACCTAGGCTACTGTAGCATTCTAAACAGTGATTGCCATTCAGTAGCTAACAGTAGAAAGAATGTTACTTTGGTGGAACACAAGAGATGCACAGTGAAGGAGGGATATGTACTGAGAGGTGTTCTCCAAGCAGCTGGCTCTTGGAAGCATCTATGTTAACTCTTGAAATACTTGTATGTCTTCTACTGGCAACGGTTTCTTCCGTGAAAGTCAGTTATTTTACATCAAGAAATAAATAAATAAAAAAAAAAATAGTAAGAGGCCAGACCCATATAATAATTCTCTCCCTCCCCTTGACAGTTAGCAATGTGGACATTTATTTCAGGTACTTATATAGCGCCATCAATTTACACATATATATTGTACATTCACATCAGTCCCTAACCCTCAAGGGGTGTATAATCTAAGGTCCCCAACTTACATTCATACATACACATATTAGGGCTAATTTAGACAGGATCCAATTAACCTACCAGCATGTCTTTTGGAGTGTGGGAGGAAACCGGAGTACCTGGAGGAAACCCACGCAGAAGAACATGCAAACTCCAGGCAGGTGGTGCCATGGCTGGGATTCGAACCAATGACCCTAGTACTGCCAGGCAGAAGTGCTAACCATTTAGCCACTGTGCTGCCCCAACATTTGCATTAAATTGTGATCGCTTTGTTCTGAGAAGCAACTAGACTGGGTTTCTTTCACAGGCAATGACAATATAAGTGGTCAAGGCAAAAGTGTAAAGCTGAACTCCAGCACAAGCATATATTGTCTAATTACAAGAGGCAAGCATAGTCTTCCTTGAATCTTGGTGTGCTTTATGTATTTCTGTGCAGTGTGACACTTTGTATTTGTGTAGGAGCTTCTTCTAATAATGACTGGTCACTGCTGCTCTCTCTCCTTGTGCAGGGTGACTGGTCTTGTCTCCACTCCCTCTTACTATTTGCAGGCAGCCTGTAGTGGGTGGACCTGTTAGATCCCTCCCACAGTTCTGCTCTCTACACAGGCTATTTACACTACAGCAGGGCTTGACAAATTTGTTTGAAACTATGAGCCAGTAAAAACAGTTAGTCTATGGGACGTGCCTTTGCTTTGAAGTCCATGGGAAGGCCCTTTGCTTTGAAGTCCATGGTAGGCAGTGTGTGAACCCAGGCGCCAGGACACAATTTCTAGTTGCCATGGCGACCTGGCACCTGGGATTTGTCAAGCCCTGCACTACAGGGATCACTGCCACTTTTACAAGATAATAACTGGGTTTGCTTTGACATTTGGTGCACAAAGTGGATTTATATCCAATCTTATTCTTTATGCCTGGAGTTCAGCTTTAAGTAAAATATAGACCAAATAAAGTGCCATTGAGGAAAACCAGTTACAACAGTAAAGGACATTTTAGTCTTTAATTATTAGAAATACCATAGGCTTACTTTATCTGAGCTGGACATTCTAGTTGAAAATGTCACAGGATCAGAGGTCACCGGAAGAAAGACAGTTGCTATCTTGTCCGCTGCCTGAACTAATATACAGCACAGGGAATAGACAGAAAATAATGGGGCAATTCAAGAACACTTTTCTGCCATTATGGCTATATTAGAAAGTCCTACACCAAATTAATTTAAAAAAAATAAAAAAATTTAAAAAAAAAAGGGAAGAAGAGGTGACAGATTTCTTGTCATTACCAGTGTGTGCAACAGATTCAGGTAATTCTTAAGACTTCTACATCCTGGCACTATGATCATGATACATTCAATGACCCCTTTTACGCTGACAAAAGCCAGCATTGTGAATGGGCCCTGGTTACACAGTGCTAATTTACTGGAAGCCTGTCCTACCAGCAACAGATAGTGAGCCATGGGCTGTGCCCCGTGACCGTGCCCCAGAAAAAAAGCAACTATGCATATACATGGCAGCCGGGCTTTTAAGCCCACCAGGACTGCATCCACAATCAAGCATATTGTCCTAAAGCAGTTGATGTAGGTCTAAAGGCTGAACTTTTTTACCTTAATGCATTCCTTGCATTAAGGTAAAAATTAGCCCAGTATTTGTATCGCCCCCGCACATCTCTGTATACTTACCTGGGCCTGATCTCAATCCAGCACAATGCCCGTCTGCAGCAGCTCTCTGCTCACAGAGGCAGCAGCAGTCATTGGCTCCTGCTGCTGTCAAACAAATCCTGCGAGCAGAGAATGTGGGGAGGGGGATGAGCCATGCTGTGTATGTCAATAGAAACACACAGCCCCAGAGCGAGCCCACAGGTGCCCCCCATAGGAAGTGGCTTCCTATGGTGGCACACAAAGAAGTAGGAGGAGAAGACAGCACCAGCAGGGGACCCCAAAAGAGCAGCTAAGTATGACATGGTTATTAGTGAAATAACAGAAAAAAAAAAAAAAATTACTTTACAATCACCTTAAGAAATATAAATCACATTGGTGATAAGAACAGTGGACATAAATAAGAACTCTTCAACCTTGGAATCAATTGTCCCTGAGACGGAACTCTGTTTGTACAATTCTGCAACAGATTTATACACACTTTACCAACAGTTACACAAAGTCATCTGTTGTATGAAGAGGAGACAGTTCTAGTGAGTGCCTATGACACTCTTTATGAATTGCAGGGAATATGTGAGGTCAGCCAGTTAAAAAGCAAGTAACTGTCAGACTTCAGGTGATCTCTATCCCCAGATCACCTTGGCAATGGCACCCACCATAGTTCTCTGCTGGCAGGTTTCCTTTAAAACTGTTCAGGAAAAAATGAACACATGCAGTCAGGAGGTGAATGAATGGGAACGGCAGATTAACAAGACAGTAACCGGCAGAACAACAACCAGATGTGCCAATCCATAGCTTCAGGGAGCAAACACAACTTTGATATTAGCAAGGAAAACCTAGCCAAGAAAGATCTATGGAGCATTAAAATTGCATTAGCTCTGTTGTGCACAAAACTGATGGGTTACAGTGTTGGGAGGCAGCATTTGTTGGGTAAGCAAAGAACGCTAATCTAACAGACATTTACCATAAATCAAGCTATGAGATGTAGCAGAAACACAGGGGGGAATTTATCAAGACTGGAGCAGACAGAATCTGCTATCTATGGCAAACAATCAGCTTTTAGCTTCAGTTTGTTTAGATACATTTTAAAAATTAAAAGTGTTACTAAACCCAGGACGCTGCATTCACTATCTGGTCTCACACAGTACACAGAACATGGAAATGCAATTATTTTAGTAAGTAGATACTGCTAAATACCTCTTCTCATCTGAAGTTAGAGCAGTCTTGTGGCTTCTATCAGTGTCCAGCCCAGCACTAGCTAAAGCTTGTAGAAGGAGTTTTCATTTTGCTCTAGGAGGATGCAAAACCCCTGACCTCTGCCTGGAAAGTGCTGATTGGCCCTGTGCTAATCACATGCACTCTCCCAAGAAAAAAAAAAAAAAAAAAAACACAAAAAACCAAAACACACACATTATCAATTTATTGCTTGATTGGAAATAAGATTTAAATATCTTTCACTGTGCCATACGCTTAATGATCATATTGAATTATCTACATTACTATGATCAGATTTTCTATCCAGGCTGAAAAGAAAAAAAAATTCTGATATAAAGGGCCGGTTCACACCACAAAAAATGCACTCAAGATCTCTTCCAGACGCATTTCTACATGCACATTTTTGAATGCATTCCAGATGCTTTATTTCTTTTTTTTTTTTTTTGCTTTACTGGGGTGCGGTGAATTTTTAATGCATTCCAGTGGGTTTTTTTATGCATTTTACCACATTCCAGTACAGTGCAGGAAAAATGCAGCATGTTCTACTTTTTTTCTGCAACTGGAACGCCTGCACTGGTGTGAACTATGCCATTGGAAACCAGATAACCTACTTTCCATGCGTTTTTGATGCAGAAAAAAAACTCAATGCACTGGACTGCATATGGTGTGAGATAGTACTGCGATCTTCGCTGGGTTATATAGTTCTAGAAAAAAAAAAAAAAAAAAAAGAACATGCTGCATTTTTCCTGCACTGGACTGTAGTGGAGCACAGTAAAATGCATCAAAAACGCACTGGAATGCATAAAAAAAAAAAAAATGCACCAGACCCCAGTACAGTGGAAAAAAAAAAAAAAGAGAAAAGAAAAAAACAAAAAGTAAGTGGAACGCATTTGGAAACACATCACAAATATGCATGTAGAAATGCATCCGGCTCTGGAGTGCATTTTTTTGTTGTAAACCGGACCTAAATCAGTTGTTTTTGCTCAAAATCAATTGTTGATTTTTGATCATTCATAGGTTAGATCAAATTATCCAATAATCCATAGATCCAATATTACCTAATACTGAGTAGAACGGTTTGATCAGATTGTTATGTGTATGGTCACCACCACACACACACACAGGAATCTATAGAGAAATATTACATACCAAATCAGAAGTTGGACACCTGTACAGGGAATGCTTCACTTTCCAATGTCGGTGCAGGATCCTGAGTCAATGTGCCTCTCTAAGCAAAGCAAAGATGGTTACAATCAACAGTAGAATGTACAACTTCTAAACATGGCACCTGATCAAAAAAAAAAAAAAAAAAAAAAAAAGTTATTCCCAAAGCAGCACAGTAATACCTCCTATCAGCAGATGACAGTCTGATCTTCCAATTGTATCTGCAATCCTACCCTGACACCCTCACACCTGCACCCACCACCTGCAGAATAATCTGCCCCAATCAGCAGGCACCTCTACAGACTGGGACCATCAGAAATAGAAGCAGCAGTGTACTGGGGGCCAGGGGAATCTGTCATCCCTGATGGGGGACTGCCTGTCCTGCCTTGGACTCTGTGACCCCTGACCTCTCTGTACAATCAGCCTGCAGATGATAGAAGACACAGCCCGGTGTATGGTGTAGAGGAGGCGCACACACCTCGGATCTCCGCTGTGCTGTGTCTGGGCCGGTGCCAGTACTGCAGAGAGGATCGGTGTGATAGAAGGCAGGATGGGAAGGAAGGGTGCGGTCCCCCTGTTCTCCGATCTGCAGCTCTCTGTCTTCTGCTGTCTGCCCTCGGGGTGCTGTGGGTGCCGGTACCACCTCCTTCCTCCCCCTCCCTTCCTGGCTCTGGACTGCATCGAGAATGGATCAGTCCAGCCCTGCTGTCAGCCTTTCCACGACTCAGCTTCCCTTTAAATCTGCATTACAGGCTCAGTGCCTCCCAGTAGATGCATCGTACACCTAACATCACATCCATCCCTGACATCACATCCAGAAATCCTCCTGCCACAAATCCATTTGCAGACCTCATTTACCGACTCTGTCCCGACTTTTTTGGAAGGTAATTAGAAGAGGTAGGTGTGGTTTGTCAAACTATACTCTGATTGGTGGCAGGAAGTGGGTGTGTTCTTAGTGTAGCTTAGAAGTAAAGTATTAGGGCTAGTTCACACTAGATGCAGTTCAGAGCACTTTTTTTCTGCATCAAAAAAAACATGCACAGTGTTTTCCATGTATTCCAATGACCTAGGTTCACACTAGCGCAGTCAGTTTCCAGTGCAGAAATAAAAAGTAGAACATGCTGCATTTTTTCTGGGCAAAACCATACTGGAACTTAAACTCCATCAAAACTGCACTGGAACTATGAGTGGTGTGAACTGTAATTAAAATGTATCTGGAACAGGGGCAGACTGACAACTCATGGGGCTCCTGGGCAATAGGGGATCATGGGGCCCCTGTGTCCTTGCCCAAACACAAAAAAGCCTATGAAAAAGGTACCAGGGGCATCTCATGGGGCCCCCTACTGATCCTGGGCCCTCGGGCAGTGCCCGAGTTTCCAAATGGTCAGTCCGCCCCTGTCACGATCGCCCAATCGCCACCCTCAACATGCGACAGTCGCACGACCAACAATATTACGTCACGCCCATAGCGTCAGACCCCAGACCTTCTCTCCAAACTCATGACCAAAGGACCGGCCGCTGTAAAACCGCGATGTGACGCGCGTAACAATGCCACACTCAGTTGTGCCCTACAACGATTGTCCAGCTAATGGAACACAATCGACGCACCGGCAGCCTGAATGCGCTTGTTACTGGGTCGGGTTAATCACGCAACTAACCCTTCACTGCCACCACCCCTTTTTGTACAGAGAAAGGGGAAACTCTCTTTATCAAATATACACTGTAATGATTGAAATAATGGTCTGTGTAACACGGTCCGCAGGCCAGTTACACAGAGATTAAAGCAAACAGTAGGGTCTCTTCAAAGGCAGGAATTCGTGAATTGCAAGTAAGCGCTTAAAAACAGTTTAACACTTTCAGAAAGAAAGATTTATTACTAAAAGAGTCAAACAGGTGCAATAAAATATTTACAAAGATATCACTAAGATATATATATATATATGTATATAAAGACACAGCAAAGAGATAATAGGAAGGAAGTTAAAGGGTTAAGGTACTTGCCATGTTAAGCCTTAAGGTAAGCAGATCCAAGTTGCAGAGCGGAAAGGGTCTTTGATCTGCTGCTGTTACGATGTTAAAAATTAGAAGATCTCTTTAGCTTCATTCTTTAGGCTTGCCAGCCTGTCTTTAAAGTCCCCCTGCAGGGGGGGGGGGGGGTGGCTCTGAATACTGGCCAATATGCTGTTTTGGGAGGGGTCAGTTGGGCGAACTCTGAATTAGAACCAACATCTGTCATAATCCATGACATGAAACATAGGGGAAAAACCTGACTTGAGGAATGTTAATTTCATTCTGTCACCTTTAACTGTTAGGTTTTATGAGGTTACAATCTCTTTCAATTCCTGGGAGAAGCTGCCTTATCTGTTTTATGATGTGTGAGCCTACGCAGGGTCTAGGGTCAGTGCTTCCTATTCTCTGAGGAACACTGGCCTTATCATGACTTAGGTGAGGAAGGCTACACTTTTGCAGACTGCTCGGCCCTGAACTAAGGATGCCTTAACCTGTGGTTGACCCATAACAGCCCACCATGTGTCACTGTGCCTCTCAGGAAGGGAGGGGGAAGGAGAATAAAGGATTGAGGAATACTTCTAATAAAAAAAAGGGGAACTCCGTGTCCAACTCTGATGAGCAAGTTTTCTACACGCCCCTGATCTGGAATGCAACCGGAGTGCACTTTTGTAATGTGAACTGGGCCTTAGGGCTGATTCAGACTAGATGCAGTTCAGTGCGCTTTTTTTCTGCATCAAAAATGCATGCAGTGTTTTCCATGTATTCCCATGGCCCCGGTTCACACTAGTGCAGTCAGTTCCAGTCAGTTTCCGGTGCAGGAAAAAAAAGCAGAAAGTGCTGCATTCTTTCTGCACAGAACCATACGGGAACATGGCAAACTGCACTGGAACTGCGTGTGCTGTGAACTGTAAGCAAAAACATATCCAGAATGCATCTGGAGTGTGTTTTTGTAATGTGAACTGACCCTTAGGGCTCATTCACATGGACATCTACAACATTGCGTTTAGATGTGTATAGTTTCATACTCCTCTAAGATTAAATGAACATGGATATAAAAATGTTACTGAAGCTACTGCATAATGACCAGTAAAATACTTGCATATCAGATGTACTTAAACAGGTAAAGACGCGCATGTGTACATAATTTGTTTTTTAGAATTTATTTTTTCCTTTTGTTTAGACTTAAAGTGTTAAACCCAGGACCCTGCATTCACTATATCTGGTTTCCCACAGTACACAGAACATGGAAGTGCAATTATTTTAGTAAATATAAACTGCTAAATACCTTTTCTCATCAGCAGTTAGAGCAGTCTTGTGACTTCAACAGAGCACTGGTTAAAACTTGTAGGAGGAGTTTTCATTCTGCTCTAGGAGAATGCAGGAGCCCTGACCTCTGTTTGGACAGTGCTGAAAACCCGCAGCTTTCTCTCCTCTCAGTGCAGGGATGACAGTGTGGGCTTGATGGCTTTTGATTGGTCAGCACCGCTACAGAGCTGACCAATCAGAAGCCATTTCACCTGTACGGTCATTCCTGCAAGGAGAGGAGAGTGCATGCAGCCAGCCTTTTAAAATCAATGACTGCTTTAAATGCAGTCTATCTGTACAGCCTGGTTCACCTGAGCCGTGCATCAGTCCCCACGCGGATGTACACCCAGTAATGCGGTTGGAGTTTTGTGAAGATCCTTTCGCCTGTCATTGATTTGAACTTGGCTGGCTGCACAGACCACCTGTGCTTCCCAAGGGCATAAACATGGCTGGTACTGAGCAGTACGCCTGTGTGAAGGGTGTCCCGTGATCCCCTATTGCCCGGGGGCCCCATGAGTTGTCAGTCCGCCCCTGCCTACAACTAGGCATCAGTCCCATGGGGATGTGTGTGAAGATCCATGCAGCTCAACTTGTCATTTATTTGAACAGGCTGGCTGCATGGACCACCTGTCTCTTCGGGGTGGATAAACACACAGGCACAAAGATCCTAGTACACTAAAAAGCCAATGCAATCCACTGCATAAAGATCAGTAAACGTGCACTGCATTCACATTCATAGAAAAAAAAAAAACAGAAATCGGCACAAGGCTATACCATGTAAATTGCAGGCATATTCCTGTGCTCAGGAGACACAGCTGCAGTGTACAGCTATCTAAAATAATGAATGGCTGTACTCTAGCAGTACACAGGTATATATTGCACTTGAGCAAACGCAGGCATAAATCCCTGGACATACAAGACATGTTCATGGATTTACACCCATGCATGTATTTATGCAAACATGGGATATACCCGCATACAGCCATTCATAACTATACACTGCAGTTTTCTCTTCGATGCATGGAAATATACCTGCGATTTACAATATATGGATTCCCGCACCTGTGCACAAGGCCAAAATCTCTGCAATACTGGCTGTATATTTTACACTGTACAGATGTAAATGTTTGTTCTAGCAGTTACACATGTAGCACCCTCCTAGTGTAGTGTAGGCTGCTAGTTAACTAGTTCCCCAGTTATCAGTGGAGCAGGGGTTGATTGGTTAGGGCTGATCAGTGTTTCACAGTCTGCTGCTCTGTTGCTTCCACCTGTCTTGTAGAGGATTCTAGAATTATAGTGGAATAGGCAGCCTCAATATTTATAGAACTCCAGTCAATCCCTGGGGATCTTTGTTCAGTAGCTGGTGGGAGAACCCATAAGTGGTCTGAGGCACCAGGGCAGTGTTCTTGGGTCCAGTCCTGCAAGAGGAGACCCATGTGCAAAGGCTTTGCCCCTGGGGCAGGAGTGCTAGAGATACCTTTGTGAAGACCTCAAGGTCCCAGCTAGGCTTAGCTGGGGGGCCTATTCGCAAGTTCAAGTCCAGGGATGAAGTTGGGTCTGGAGAAGCTCATGGGAGAGTGTCGAGAGGAAGTTGGTGGAAAAGAGTCCAGCTGCCCTATAGAGGTGTGAGTCTACATCTCCCTCACTTGGAAATCCTGGTGGGTATCGGCAGGAGGCAACCGATGAGCCTGTGGCTGAGTGAGTAGATGACCACCAGTGCTGGCTGAAAAGTGACTGTGTGCAGCTTTTAACTCTGGTCACCTACAGTATAAGAGATACTGTGGGACATTGAGTTGTTTTGGCTGTGCAGTGCTCAAGTTATCCAGTTCTACAGTTTTGGGATATCCCATGCTCCTCCTCCCTATCCCAGTTCATCCTTCCCAATAAAAACCCTAAAAAGGACAAGAATGAACCACTAGACTGTTTACTGAGCCAGTGGAAGAATGAAGAAAATGCTGTGTGCACTCTAAGTGGTGAAATTGGAGTGTACTATTGGACCAGAGGCTCCTATGGGAGCGCCCTACAAATGTACTCTATTAGTTTATAGGAGCTACCTGCATCTTAGTAACAAAAGCACACTAAGTGGCAACGGCCGCTTGCAGCCTAGCAACTAAGGAGTTTCCTGTAAGAAGCGACCTGTGTCCTTGCAACAGGCTGCAATGCTGTATGCATCTTGCTCAAACCTTACATTTGTACAAATCACTTTTTACGCAGGATCTTTCTGCCAGCAAGATCCTGTATACTAGATGCCATATCTTCATAAAACAACGTACATGCACCTCTATCAGACAAAATGAAAACTACTGTAAAGGCTATGTAAAATAATCACAGAAACCCATTAATGTCTGTTAACATTTGTATTTATGACCTGTACTGAAATAATAATAAATATACTATTTCCTCTAATTTTTGT